GAGTGTGAGCAGGGTAATATTTTGTGAAGGGATTCAAGGAAACTGGTTAGCCAGACTTGAGTCCTGGAAATCGGAAGTATAATGCCTGCACTTTAAAGGAGGGGTTTGTTATATTGGCAGTTTGGAGGGACTTCTAAACTGTTATATCTGAGTGCCTCTGCAAAGACATTGATTATATATGAGTGATGGTGAAAGTGTTGAATGATGATGAAAGTATTTTTCTTTATTTTTGGGTTACCCTGCCACGGTGGGAAATAGACAGTGTGTTAAAAAAAAAAAATGTACGTATATACATTTCTTACTGTTTCTCGTTCTTGTTTATTTCTTCATATCTTCATGGGGAAGTGGAACAGAATTCTTCCTCCATAAGCTATGTGTGTCGTAGGAGGCAACAAAAATTCAAAGAGCAAGAGGTTAGTATCCCCTTCTCCCAAATATATTATTAAATTTAAAAAGAGAAACTTTCGTTTTTCATTTTGGGCCACCCGCCTTTGGCGGGTTACAGCTGGTTTGTTGAAAGAAGATGCACGCACATGCATGTGCACACATGCACACACAGACACACATGCACACACGTGCATGCACACACACGCACACACGTGCATGCACACACACGCACACACGTGCATGCGCACATGCACACGTGCACGCGCACATGCACACATGTGCACACGCACATGCACACACGACACACACACGACACACACGACACACCACCACACACGACACACACACGACACACACACGACACACCACAACGACACACACACACACGACACACACACGACACACACGACACACACGACACACACGACAAAACACACACACACACACAACGACACACACGCACACACACACACACGACACACACGACACACCCACAACACACACACGACACACAACACACACACAACACACGACACACACACACACACCACACAGACACACACACACACGACAACACAACCACGACACACACACACACACACGAAAACACCACGACACCACACACACACACACGACACACACACGACACACACCGAACGACACACACACACGACACACACGACACACACGACACACACACACGACACACACGACACACACACGACACACACACACGACACACACGACACACACACAACGACACACACACACAACGACACACACACGACACACACGACACACACAGACACACACACAACACAACACGAACACCACACACAACAACACACACAACACACACACAACACTGACACACACACACACACACACACGTGACACACACACACACAACACACCACAACACACAACATGACACACACAACACGACACACACAACACAACAACACGACACACACACACACACGACACACACACACACACGACAACACACAACACACACACACACACGACAACTGACACACACACACGACACACACACACGACACACGACACACACACACACACGACACACACACCACGACACACACAACGACACACACAACGACACACACACAACGACACACACAACACGATACACATGAAACACACACACACACACGATACACATGAAACACACACATGACACACACGCATGACACGCACACACGCACGCGCGCGCACACACACACGTGCGTGTGCACACACACACACACGATGCGCGCGCACACACACACACACATACATACACACACACACACACACAACGGAACAAGAGTGTAAACGCCAACCAGCATGGATTCATGGAAGGAAAATCCTGTGTCACAAACCTTCTGGAGTTTTTTGATAAAGTAACAGAAGTAAGACACGAGAGAGAGGGGTGGGTTGATTGCATCTTCTTGGACTGCAAGAAGGCCTTTGACACAGTTCCTCACAAGAGATTAGTGCAGAAGCTAGAGGATCAGGCTCATATAACAGGAAGGGCACTGCAATGGATCAGATAATACCTGACAGGGAGGCAACAACGAGTCATGGTATGTAATGATGTATTACAGTGGGCACCTGTGACGAGCGGGGTCCCACAGGGGTCGGTCCTAGGACCATTGCTATTTTTGGTATATGTGAACGACATGATGAAAGGGTTAGACTCAGAAGTGTCCCTGTTCGCAGACGACGTGAAATAAATGAGGAGAATTAAATCAGACGCGGACCAGACAGGTCTACAAAGAGACCTGGACAGGCTGGATGTGTGGTCCAGAAACTGGCTCCTAGAATTTAACCCCGCCAAATGCAAAGTCATGAAGATCGGAGGAGGGCAAAGAAGACTGCAGACAGAGTATAGGCTAGGTGGCCAAAGGCTGCAAACCTCACTCAAGGAGAAAGACCTAGGAGTGAGTATAATACCGAGTACATCGCCAGAAGCACACATTAGCCAGATAACTGCTGTGGAATATGGGCGCTTGGCAAACCTGAGAATAGCGTTCCGGTACCTCAGACTTTATACACTGTGTACGTCAGGTCCATACTGGAGTACGCAGCACCAGTTTGGAACCCACACCTGGTCAAACACGTCGAGAAATTAGAGAAAGTGCTAAGGTTTGCAACAAGGCTAGTTCCAGAGCTAAGGGGAATGTCCTATGAAGAAAGGTTAAGGGAAATCGGTCTGACAACACTGGAGGACAGGAGGGTCAGGGGAGACATGATAACGACATACAAAATACTGTGGGGAATAGACAAGGTGGACAGAGATAGGATGTTCCAGAGAGGGGACACTGAAACAAGGGGTCACAACTAGAAGCTGAAGACTCAGACGAGTCACAGGGACGTTAGGAAGTATTTCTTCAGTCATAGAGTCGTCAGGAAGTGGAATAGCTTAGCAAGTGAAGTAGTAGAGGCAGGAACCATACATAGTTTTAAGAAGAGGTATGACAAAGCTCAGGAAGCAGAGAGGGAGAGGACCAAGTAGCGATCAGTGAAGAGGCGGGGCCAGGAGCCGAGTCTCGACCCCTGCAACCACAATTAGGTGAGTACACACACACACACACACACACACACACACACACACACACACACACACACACACACACACACCCAACACACACACCCAACACACACACACACACACACACAACACACACACACACACCCAACACACACACACCAACACACACACACCCAACACCACACACACACACACACACACACAACACACACACACCACACACACACACACACACACCAACCACACACACACACACACACCCAACACACACACACAACACAACACACCCAACACACACACCAACACACACACCACAACACACACACACCCAACACACACACCCACACCAACACCACAACCAACACACACCACACCAACACACACCACCCAACACACCACACACACCCAACACACAACACACACCCAACACAAACCACACACCAACACCCAACACACACACACCACACCAACACACACACACCCAACACACACACACCCACAACACACACACACAACCACACACAACACACACACACACACACACACACACACCCACACACACACCCACACAACACACCAACACACCCACACACACACACCACACCCACACACAACACACCCACACACCCACACACACACAACACACACCACACACACCACACCAACACACCACACACACCCCACACACACACAACACACACACACACACACACACACACCCAACACCACACCACACCCAACACACACACACACACACACACCCAACACACACACACACACACCCCAACACAACCACACACCCACACACACCAACACACACACCACAACACACACACACAACAACACCACACAACACCACACACACACACACACACACACACAACAACACACCCACACACACACAAACACACACACACACCCCCCCCCACCCCACACACACACACACACACACACACACACACACGCACACACACACACACACACACAACACACCCACACACACACACACACACACATCACACACACACACACACACCACACACACACACAACACCATCACACACACACACCCATCACACACACACACACACCCATCACACACACACACCATCACACACACACACACACACCCACACACACACACCCATCACACACACACACACACACACACCCATCACACACACACACACATCACACACACACACACACACACACACCCATCACACACACACAACATACACATCACACACATATAAAACACACACACAACACACACACACACACACACACACACACACACACCACACACACACACAACACACACACACACACACACACACACCCATCACACACACACACACCCATCACACACACACACACACCCATCACACACACACACACACACACCCATCACACACACACATACACCCATCACACACACACACCCATCACACACACACACACACACAACATACACATCACACACATACACAACACACACACACCACACACAACATACACACACAACACAATGCAACACACACACACAACACAATGCAACACACACACAACACATGCAACACACACACAACACAATGCAACACACACCCAACACACACCCAACACACACCCAACACACACACACACACACACACACACACACACACACACACACACACACACACACACACACACACACACACACACACACGTTTATACAAGAGCCTAGTGTCTAATCAACATGTGCCTCAGACAAAATGGTAACTAACACACACACGCACACACTCTTGCCCTCTCTAATATGATTTCCTCTTTTGAGGGGATCATTCCTATCTGTGTGGGAGACTTCAGGTGAGGTATAAAGAACTATGGTGTTCCTGTTCATTGTTTCACTGGTATTTTTCATGTGTGCAGTCACATGTTAATGTGATTTCTTGAATGCAAGACAGATGGGGCATCCCACATTCATCAGGAATAGCTTATTATAATAGTTTATTCTTCATTTTTTCATGGCTGCAGGTTTTAGTACATTATATTTTTCTGCATGTTATTTTAGTTTATGGTAGTGGACAGAGAAAGTGGCAGTGAAGAAAATGAGGATGAAGATCTGGCTGATGATTACTGGGAGAAACGGTACACGATCATTCCTCAGAACATACCTACATTTCTGCAAGTTCATGCAAATGTCATACTTCGTACTGGAAAATACTTAAATGTTATCAGACAGTCTGGTGAGTAACCTTTTTATTATGTTATATTTCTGTGCTGCTTGTGAATTTGTAATCACCTTACAAAAGTTATGTACTGTATTTGTAATTACCTAATTGAGCTTGTGGGGTGTAAGCTCCAGCAACTAATCGTGCCTAACTTTTTACATGCTGACATGAATGATCCTTGGTATATTTGTGATGAGAAAAACATTTGCAGAAATAGCTTTTGTTAGGACAGTCAGGGGTAGCTCCAGATGGGCTGAGAGGGTGGCACTCTGGTTGGAGGAGGGGGCTATAGGACTTGGCTTGAAGTAGTGTTTTACCCCCTTTCTATGTACTGCCTGCTACACTTCCCATACATCTACTTCTGGCTTTTTCTCCCATGAGATGTTATCCCTCTCTACCTACTGGATGAAATCACTGTCTCCTTTTCATCAATATTTAACAGCTCCTCAAAATATCTTCTCCATCTTTTCATTACCTGCACCTCCCCATCAAATATTTTCCCTCTTGTTCTTAACTGCCAGTTCCATATGTTCCTTTGAATTTTTTTACTGATAAACTTTTTCTACTGATAAAAACTCATCCATTCTCTTTTTTCTTCACATATACATACATACATACATACATACATACATACATACATACATACATACATACATACATACATACATACATACATGCATACATACATCCACACATACACACACACACATACACACATACATACATACATACATACATACATACATACATACATACATACATACATACATTCACATTCAGCTTTTTGTAAATTCTTATTACATTGTAGAAACCTCTTCTGTGCTATTTTTTTCTCATTTATCACCCTCTTTATGTACATTGTCATTCCACCCTTCTGTACCCACAGACTTCTGTGAACTTTAGCACTACATTCTTAAATCTACCCCAATTCTCTTTGACCCCCTTTTTACATGTACTCTCTCTCTAGCTCACAATTAACCAGTAGTTGTTTAAACCTTTCCTAACTATCTCCTTTAGTTTCATTTACTTTTTCTCTCTCATCCACTGATGGCATTCTCCTTGTACTCCATTAACCTCTTGTTCTTACTGTAGGTCCCATTAAATTATGATCAATATAGTATCTGTAAAAGCATACACTTACAAACTTCTACCCATCAGTCTTTTATATACTAATACATAGTCTATCAAACTTATTTATCTTTTTTCTTAAATAAGTATTACCTATTACCAAACCTCTTTCTATACATAATTCAGCTATAGGTCCCCCATTATCATTTACCCATGACACTCAGAGTTACCTACTATGTCATCTACATCAGTCTCTCCCACTTTAGTATTTAGATCCTCACAGCTATTATAATTATTCTTTCAGTGGACTCGAAACTCCCTCAACATTCTTTTAACACCTCTCAAAATCTTCTCTTCTTTACACAGTTCTCACGTATAGGTGCATAAACATGCACTATTACCCATTTTTCACTTCTCACCTTTATTCTAACTTATATAATTCTTGAATTTTACTTTTATACTCCTCTTTCCATAGTTTGTCATTTATTACCTCCCCAGCCACCGGGCCATGAGCAGTGCCCTTCCCTTTCCTCTGGCTCCTCGCCATTCTTTCTAAGCAAATGTCATGTCCACTAGACAGCATTATTCTTTCTTAATTCTTCCAATGGTCATCACATTAAGCTGTGTCACTGAGGCCAGGGTCCTTCACATATGTAGTTCTACATCATGAGCTCAGCTCATTCAGATGTGAGCAGTAAATTTTGGTCTAGATGTGAGAGAATGGGTCTATGGGTGAGTGTATACAGTATAAAAACATCCGGGCCCACACTGTGTTTGTGATTGTGCTTATGGTTTAAAATAGCAAGTTTGAGGTGTTCTCTCAGATGGTTTTTATGATTTTATTAGCTGTTATTTGGTATCATTTGATAGAACAGAAGAAATACTACTGAAATAAAAATTATTTTGGTTGGCTTCAGGACATGAAATAGTTTGAAATTTAACTCAAAATAGCCGAAATATTACATTTTTGTCAATTTTCCTGAGGATGGGTAAGGCTTCTTACACACCCTGGTCTATTTTTATGGATTTTTAATAGCTCTGATTCAATTATTGGGACACCATAAACCTGGTTATGTTTTATTATCCAAGAATTAGAGTAAATCTTCTATTTTTGTGTGATTATAAATTCAGTAAGGAAGGCAAGTGTAATATAGGAAAGGCCTGGGGATGTGATTAATGAACATGAGAAATATTGGTTTAGTGCCAGGAATCTACATTGTTTATTTTGAACTCTATTTTTTGTCATTTTTTTATTTTTTATAAAATTAGCCAAATTACTGACTTCTGTGCAGTGTATAGAGTAGTTGTAATAGATGACTGGACACTTTCTTGTGCTTAGTTGATAGACTGGAAGGCATACAAGTGAAATAGCTAGGAATTTGGTCAAATGGAACAATGAAATTGGCTTAAATTAGGACTCTAATAGCTAATGCGTAAATTGTGCTGAGACCGTTAAGTTTACACCTACATAATTCCATGAATTTTCCACCAAATTCCATACTTTTGGTGTCATTATCTTCAGAAAAGTATTCTTTTCCATTTCAGTTTTTTTTTAAGTGGATGCTGAGAGCAATATTAATTATTCTGGTATAGATGTAAATGTATGACCATCATTAAATTAATAAGGATTTTGGTCGTTATTTTCATTCTCTAACACTGATCTTGAGATGTTAGCACAGATGTGTCCTCCATAGTGTTTGAGAGGGAACATTGTATCAGCATTCCACAAGATGTTTGGTTCATACAATATGTTTGCCAAGGCCTTGAATGATATCCAAGCATTCAAAATTATGCATGACAATTTAAATTGTAGTTTTACAACAGTCTGGTGTAGATATGACTGAATCACAGTCATTTTGGGGTTAAAATTCAGTAAGGAAAATATTGCTGTAATTTAATTTTCTTGAATTATTTTAAAAGATGTTAAACTCTTTCAGGTTTCTTTATTTTTCTGTTATAGACCATAGTGTTGTATGCCCACACCAAGAGGAACTTGTATACAGTGTGCGTGACCGGTCATATGCTGAAGTAATTGAGCGAACATATAACTTTGCTTCCAAGAGGCTGCTGGAGCTGCTTATGAAGGAGAAGGACCTAATGGGTCGACTAAGGTTTGAGCTCTTGTTATGTGTGTATCTTTGAGTGGATTCAAACTTTTATATTTGCTTAATAATAATAATGATGATATTAGGCTTGAGCATTCAGCAGGTTTGTGAGAGCATGTTAGAGGAGTGAATGGAGACAAGAGGTTTTCAATGGACATGCTGTTGGAGTATGAGCATGGTAAAATGATGGAATTAATGGGAAACTAATTAGCTGGACTTTTGTCCTGGAGATGGAAAGGGCACTGCCTTTACTGTGAAGGAGGGGTGGGGAAGTTGCAGTCAAGAGGGTAATCCAAATTGTGGTGTCAGCACATTTCTGGCAAGGCAAGACATCAGTTGATTGAATGATGGTGAATGTGTTTCCTTCCTTTGGGTTATCCTATCTTTGTGGAAGACGGCTCTTCAGGTAAAAAAAAAAAAATTATTTTTAAAAAGTTTACAGATGATGCAACAATTGATGGACAATTGAAGGTTTGGAATAAATGTCACCTGCTCTGATGAATTGTGATTTCTGCTGTGACACACAGATGAAAAGGCCAGAATTTGGTGTTAACTTTTGGGATGTGGTGGAATGGGAGATTTGCATCATGAATGTGCAACTGACAAATTGCAGCATCTTTGTGATGCTATCATGTCAACATGGAAAAGAATCTCTAAGTAATGCTTCCAGCACCTTGTTGAATTTATACCATGAAGAATTCAGGCTGTTCTGGGAGCAAAGCAGGTCCCTATTCAGTACTAGAAGGGTGTACGTAATAAAGTGGCCAGGAGAGAGAGAGGAGGAGAGAGAGAGAGAGAGAGAGAGAGAGAGAGAGAGAGAGAGAGAGAGAGAGAAGAGAATGAGAGAGAGAGAGGGGAGAGAATGAGAGAGAGAGAGAGAGAGAGAGAGAGATGAGAGAGAAGAGAAGAGAGAGAGAGAATGAGAAGAGAGAAGAGAGAGAGAGAGAGAAGAGAGAGGAGAGAGAGATGAGAGAGAGAGAGAGAGAGAATGAGAGAGAGAGAGATGAGAGAGAGAGAGAATGAGAGATGAGAAGAGAGAGAGAATGAGAGAGAGAGAGATGAGAGAGAGAGAGAATGAGAGAGAAGAAGAGAAGAGAGAGAGAATGAGAGAGGAGAGAGAGAATAGAGAGAGAGAGAGAGAATGAGAGAGAGAGAGAGAATGAGAGAGAGAGAGAATGAGAGAGAGAGAATGAGAGAGAGAGAGAATGAGAGAGAGAGAGAAGAGAGAGAGAGAGAGAGAGAATGAGAGAGAGAGAGAGAATGAGAGAGAGAGAGAGAGAGAGAATGAGAGAGAGAGAGAGAGAGAATGAATGAATGAATATGTATATGTCTGTTTGTCTCTGATGTTTACAGGCATTAAATTTCCCTTTATCTCATTTTTATATTTCATTTTTTATTTTCATTAATTCTAATATCCACTTGAGGGACATGGTTTGTCTCCAAAAGTTATATAGAATTTTTTTTAATATAAAGAGGGAATTTATTGGTAATTATCCAAGTGTAGGCTTTTAGCCTGATGATATAAAGGTTGTATCATCAGGAAAGAAGACAGGTTTCAGATGTTGGATAATATTTGTATATTGACTATTATGGATCTTCTTTCTTTCAACAAACCGGCCGCATCCCACCGAGGCAGGGTGGCCCAAAAAGAAAAAAGTTTCTCTTTTTTTTAAATTTAGTAATTTATACAGGAGAAGGGGTTACTAGCCCCTTGCGCCCGGCATTTTAGTCACCTCTTACAACACACATGGCTTACGGAGGAAGAATTCTGTTCCACTTCTCCATGGAAATAAGAGGAAATAAACAAGAACAAGAACTAGAAAGAAAATAGCAGAAAACCCCGAGGGGTGTGTGTATATATATGCTTGTACATGTATGTGTAGTGTGACCTAAGTGTAAGTAGAAGTAGCAGGACATACCTGAAATCTTGCATGTTTATGAGACAGAAAAAAGGACACCAGCAATCCTACCATCATGTAAAACAATTACAGGCTTTCGTTTTACACTCACTTGGCAGGACGGAGTACCTTCCTGGGCGGTTGCTGTCTACCAGCCTACTACCATAACTATTATAGATAAGGGAAAAAGGGGCCTTGAATGTTTTCTTAGGGGGGATATCTAAATTTATTGGTAAGGTACTTGAAGAAGTATCATTTATGGTTGCACTCTGCTTTCTGCTAAAGTACTGAGGTGTGATTGAAAATACTTGAATCTGTGCCTTTTGAGTCCATATTGATTTAATTTTAGTAGAATATTGTAGTCAACAGTATCAATATTATTTTTATTATTTTTTTTATTAACACATCAGCCGTTTCCCACCAAGGCAGGTTGGCCCGAAAAAGAAAAACTCATCATCATTCACACCATCACTGTCTTCCCAGAGACATGCTAACACTACAGTTATAAAACTGCAACATTAACACCCCTCCTTCAGAGTGCTGGCACTGTACTTCCCATCTCCAGGAATCAAGTCTGACCTGCCGGTTTCCCTGAATCCTTTCACAAATGTTACCTTGCTTACACCCCAACAGCACGTCAAGTCCTAAAAACCATTTTTCTCCATTTACTCCTATCTAACATGTTTGCTGGAAGTCCAAGACCCTCGCACACAAAACATCCTTTACCCCTACCCCACCTTCCCTCCACTACAGATTTATACACTTGAAGTCATTTTGTTTTGTTCCATCCTCTCTACATGTCCAAACCATCTCAATAACCCCTCCTCAGCCCTCTGCATAATAGTTTTGGTAATTCCACACCTCCTCCTAATCTCCAAACTATGGATTCTCTGCATTATATTCACGCCACACATTGCCCTCAGACATGACATCTCCACTGCCTCCAGCCTTCTCCTTGTTGCAACATTCACCATCCATGCCTCAAACCCATACAAGGGCATTGGTATAACTATACTCTCATACATTTCCCTCTTTGCTTTCATGGATAAAGCTCTTTGTCTCCACAGACGCCTTAGTGCACTACTCACTTTTTTCCCCTTGTCAATTCTATGCTTCACCTCATCTTTCAATGACCCATCTGCTGACACATCCACTCCCAAATATCTGAATACATTCACCCCTCCATACTCTCTCCCTTCAGTCTGATATCCAGTCTTCCATTACAGTGGACCCCCAAATTTCATGATTAATCCATTCCAGAGAGTCTGTCAAAAGTTGAAATTCATGAATTTTGAAACCATTTTCCCCATAAGAAATAATGTAGATCCAATTAATCCGTTCCAGACACCCAAAAGTATTAACAAAAATTATCTTTTTTATAGATTAAATATAGATTTACATTCAGAGAAGAATGAGAAATCAGATATAAAACAATAATATCACACCTTTATTGAAGACTCTTGTTGGTCTATGGAAGACGGGAGGAGGGGAGAGAATGGAGAAGTTACACTATTGTTTGGAAGGGGAATCCCCTTCCATAAAAACTTTAGGTACCAAGTCCTTATCTGGGGTTACTTCCCATCTTTGTTTTTTAATGGCACTAGGACCAGCTTGAGAGTCACTGGCCCCCTGTAGCTCAAAAAATTGTTCCAGAGAGCTCTGTTTCTGGTGTCTCTTTAAAATTTACCTAAAATGGGACAAGGCATTCTCATTGTACATGTTGCCGACATGGCCTGCAACATCTTTGTTAGGATGATGTACCTCCATAAATGTTTGAACCCTACTCCACATTGCACAAATCTCCTTAATCTCTGAAGAAGTCACCTTCTTCCACCTCTCTTCCTCCCCCTCTGAAGCAGTTTCCTCAGCTGTGGTCTGTTGCTGTTGCAGATGAAGCTCTTGCAGCTCTTCATTAGTTAGCTCTTCATTGTGGTCCTCCACCAACTCTTCCACATCCTTGCCACTCATATCCAACCCCATGGAATTCCACAATGCCACAGTTGATTCCACAACAGGTGTAGAGTCGACAAGGTCAGGCTCAAACCCTTCAAAATCCTTCATTCGGACACATTCTGGCCACAATTTTCTCCAAGCAGAGTTCAAAGTCCTGGAAGTTAATCCCTGCCAAGCCTTATCTATAAGGCTTATGCAATCAAGGATATTGAAGTGATACCTCCAGAACTCTTTTAGGGTCAATTCAGTGTCTTAAGTAATATTAAAGCACATTTGAAACATTGCATTGGTGTAGAGTTTTTTGAAGTTTGAAATGACTTGCTGGTCCATGGGCTGGATGAGAGGAGTGGTATTAGGGGGCAAGAGCTTCACTGTGACGAAACTAAACTCCTCACACAATTGGTCATACAAGTCTGGAGGATGAGCAGGAGCATTGTCCATTACCAGGAGGCACTTGAGTAGCAATTTATTTTCCAGGAGGTATTCCTTCACACTTGGGCCAAACACTTCATTGAACCAATCAAGGAAAATTTCCCTTGTGACCCATGCCTTACTGTTAGCCTTCTACATCACACACAGTTTACTCTTGGCGACACTGTTTTTCTTGAAAACACTGGGGTTTTCAGAGTGATACACCAGTAAAGGCTTCACTTTGAAATCCCTACTAGCATTGCCACAGAACAAGAAAGTTAGCCTGTCTTTCATAGGCTTGTGTCCTGGCAGTGCCTTTTCCTCCTGCGTGATGTAGGTTCTCTTTGGCATTTTCTTCCAAAAGAGGCCTGTTTCATCACAATTGAACACTTGGTGGAGAAGTAATTCTTCATCCTCTACATACACCTTGAATTCATGCACAAATTTTTTCAGCCGCACATTTGTCAGAACTTGCAGCCTCGCCATGCCTTACCACACTGTGTATGTCACTACGCTTTTTAAATCTCTCAAACCAGCCTTTGCTGGCCTTAAATTCACTAACATCAGCACTTGTTCCAGGCATTTTCTTTACGACATCGGCATGCAACTGCCTTGCTTTTTCACAAATTATCGACTGCATAACACTATCTCCTGCCAACTGTTTTTCATTGATTCACACTAACAAGAAATTCTCAACATCTTCGATCATTTGCAGTCTCTTTTTTGTGAGCATATCTACCCCTTTCTCAACAACAGCTTCCTTGATTTCCTTTTTCTTCGCCAAGAAGGAAGTGAGTGTTGAATGGGGCTTCCCATACATCTTGCCGAGGCCGACCACACTTACTCCACTTTCATATTTTGCAATGATTTCTTTTTTAATTCTATCATGTTTCTCACCTTCTTTACCAAAGGGATGGCACTAGGATCTTTCTTTGGGCCCATAGTGGCTTACTTAGCCGGGCTGTGGTTTGTACATTGGATGGCGTGCAGCCAGCAGTAACAGCCTGGTTGATCAGGCCCTGATCCACCATGAGGCCTGGGCACAGGCATTGACCCCAGGAACTCCCTCCAGGTAAACTCCAGGTAAACAAAAAAGAATGGAAGATTACGAAATGTATCTTATAAACGTGTGGGGTGATGGTCACTCGCTGAGAAACAGTGCCACACTGACTCTGAATGGTGTGTGGGGTGCCTTTGTGTGCGCGCGGATGCTTGAGGGCTACTTGGATGTGTTCCGTACGACCAACGAATGGCGAGGCAGATCACAAAATGCAAGGCTATATTTTGACGAAAAAAGTTGCTGAAAGTCAAAATTCACGAAGTGTGGGGCTCAAGAAACTCGGGGGGTCCACTGTACCTAATTTTTTGTTTTCCTCATCACCTTACTCTTTCCTGTATTCACTTTTAATTTCCTTCTTTTACATACCCTACCAAACTCATCAACCAACCTCTGCAACTTCTTTTCAGAATCTCCCAAAAGCTCAGTGTCATTAGCAAAGAGCATCTGTGACAACTCCTGCTTTGTGTTATATTCTTTATCTTTTAACCCCACACCTCTTGCCAACACCTGAGCATTCACTTCTCTTACAATTCCATCTATAAATATATTGAACAGCTATGGTGACATCACATATCCCTGTCTAAGGCCTACTTTTACTGGGAAATAATCTCCATCTCGTCTATGTACTCTAACCTAAGCCTCACTATCCTCGTAAAGACTCTTCACTGCTTTCAATAACCTTCCTCCTATTCCACACATTTCAACATCTGCCACATTACCCCACTATCCTCCCTATCATACGCCTTTTCCAAATCCATAAATGCCACAAAAACCTCTTCACCCTTTTCTAAATACTGTTCACCTATAATTTTCACTGCAGACACTTAGTCTACACACCCCCTACCCTTTTTAAAGCCTCCTTGTTCATCTGCTATCCTGCTCTCCGTCTTACTCTTAATTCTTTCAATAATAACTCTACCATACACTTTACCAGGTATACTCAACAGACTTATTCCCCTATAATTTTTACACTCTTTTGTACCCTTTGCCTTTAAAGAAGGGAACTGTGCATGCTCTCTGCCAATCCCTAGGTACCTTACCCTATTCCATACATTATTAAATTAAAACACTAGCCACTCCAAAACTATATCCACACCTGCTTTTAACATTTCTATCTTTATCCCATCAATACCAGCTGCCTTACCCCCTTTCATTCTACCTACTGCCCCACACACTTCCCCCACACTCACAACTGGTTTTTCCTCACTTCTATAAGATGTTATTCCTCCTTGCCCTGTACACAAAATCACAGCTTCCCTATCCTCCTGCCCTATACACAAAATCACAGTTTCCCTATCTTCATCAACATTTAACAATTCCTCAAAATATTCCCTCCATCTTCCTGATACCTCTAACTCTCTGTTTAATAACTCTCCTCTCCTATTTTTAACTAACAAATCCATTCGTTCCCTAGGCTTTCTCAACTTATTAATCTCACTCCAAAACTTTTTTCTTATTTTCAACAAAATTTGTTGATAACATCTCACCCACTCTCTCATTTGCTCCCTTTTTACATTGCTTCACCACTCTCTTAACCTCTCTTTTTCTCCCCATATACTCCTCCCTCCTTGCATCACTTCTACTTTGTAAAAACCTCTCATATGCTAACCTTTTCTCTCTTACTATTCTCTTTATATCATCATTCCACCAATCGTTCTTCTTCCCTCCTGCACCCACAGGAACTGTAATCACAAACTTCTGCTTAACACACTAACACTTCTTCTACCCCATTGCCTATACTCACACTAGCCCATCTGTCCTCCAACAGTTGTTTATATCTTACCCTAACTGCCTCCTCCTTTAGTTTATAAACCTTCACATCTCTCTTACTTGATGCTTCCATATTCCTTGTATCCCATCTACCTTTTACTCTCACTGTAGCCACAACTAAAAAGTGATCTGATGTATCTGTGGCCCCTCTATAAACATGTACATCCTGAAGTCTACCCAACAGTCTTTTATCTACCAATACGTAGTCCAACAAACTACTGTCATTACGCCCTATGTCATATCTTGTATACTTATTTATATCGACTCAAGGCTGAGGGACTGATTACCTCAAACTCCTCCTCTTCTTCACCATTCTCCTTTGTATGGACTGATGAAGCCACTGTGTGGTGAAATGTTTCCTCAGTAAAGATACCCAAGAGTTGCACGTGTGTCTAATTTATCAACGTGTCAGTTCTCTGAACCATTTATCTACAGTACTTATTTATCCTCTTTTTCTTAAAATATGTGTTACCTATAACCAAACCCCCTTTCTATACAACGTTCAGTCAAAGGGCCCCCATTATCATTTACACCTGGCATCCCAAACTTACCTACCACACCCTCTAAATGCTTCTCTTACTTTAGCATTTAGGCCACCTACCACAATTACTCTCTCACTTGGCTCAAAAGTTCCTACACACTCACTTAACATCTCCCAAAATCTCTCTTTCTTCTCTACACTCCTCTTCTCCAGGTGCATACACACTTATTACGACCCACTTTTCATATCCAACCCTTATTTTAATCCACATAATCCTTGAATTTATACATATATATTCCCTCTTCTCTCTCCATAACTGATCCTTCAACATTATTGCTACCCCTTCCTTAGTTCTAACTCTCTCAGATACTCCTGGTTAATTTTACTTTTATAATTTTTTTTTTTTACAGATCTGTGAAGCACTATTTCTTGCTTGACCAAGGTGATTTTGTTGTCCAGTTAATGAGCTTATGTGAGGATGAGCTAAGCAAAAATATTGATGATGTTGTACCTACACGACTTGAGTCATTGTTGGAATTAGCACTTAGAACATCAGCAGCTAATTCTGACTTTTATAAAGATGACATAGAATGTGATCTGCAACCTATAACCTTGATGACTCAAATGCTGAGAATTCTAAGGTATGTTTGATTCCTGATTTTTTTGTACAGTAAAATATTAATATTTTTCAAGAGTTATTGCTGGTGGTATTCCTTGGTTTTATGAAGGATATTGGTGTGCATTACAGATTAACTTCATTCATATAAAATTTGTTTAGTTGTTTTTTTCCAAGAGGATTACGTTGGTAAAAATATCTAAAATTTTCAGTACTTTTTATTAAGTTTTATATTATTCAGTAATTAATTTTTTAATTCCTCTTCTTTTTTCAACACACTGGCCATATCCCACCGAGGCGAGGTAGCCCAAAAGGAAAAACGAAAGTTTCTCCTTTTACATTTAGTAATATATACAAGAAAAGGGGGTTACTAGCCCCTTGCTCCCTAATTTTTTAATTATGGTACATTAATTGAATAAATATAACAGGCATTTGGTTCAAGTAATGTCATGCTCCTTAATTATAAATTACATGCAAAATAGGATTCTTCAGTCATTGCTTTCTCAAGCAGCATTGAGACCGAGGATGAACGAGAGTACTACCCACAAGAGGAGCGACTACAGCTGACCGGGCTTCAGGGGTTTTCACTTGGTTATCGGGTAACATGGCCAGTGTCACTGGTGTTGGACCGCAAAACTATAGCTTGCTACCAGATGATCTTCAGACATCTCTTTTACTGTAAACATGTTGAGAAATTACTGTGCAGGTAAATAAACTAAGGAAGCACCCAATTGTGCAGGAACTTAGGTAACACATGTTAGCATTATGTGTAAATGTTAGTGTCTTGATATTTATAGTGTGTAGTTGCTTGAAGGCTTTTCTGTCATGACTTGGAATAGGTATACTTAACTGGTAATTATGAAAATTAGGAACCTTTCATTCTGGCTAATAAGTTATTATTTAGTGATAGTCTGGAAATTAGTTTATTTTTGTGATAAACTTGAGGGAATATAATGTCCTAAAATGTGGTATCTTGCAGGGTGTGGGTCAGTAACAAGGTGGCCAAAAGCTTTCCACTGTCTGCCTCCCGCACATACACTGCAGCTTTCGCTCTAAGGCAACGTATGCTCAACTTTATTCAAAATATAGAATATTATATGATGTTTGAAGTAATAGAGCGCAACTGGCAAAATTTTATTAATAAAATGCAAAAGGTTGGTAATATTAATTTTGTGATAAATAAAAATTAGAAGTCCATATAATAGGATTGTAGTAAAGATGGAAAAAGAAGCAAGAATTTTGTGTATTGTTGTTGGTCCACTGCTCTTAATTTCCTGTGTCTCGTATTGTATAATGTAGTTTCTCATGACCAGAATTTTGTTTCTAAGTACAAAAGGAAAAATACTACTAAATTATTTGGCATACCAAATATAAACACAAAACTTTAATAAGCACCAGTCTGTGGCACAAATAAGCCCAAAAGAAGAAAATAAAACAAGATAAGAGTACAGTGGAACCTCCACTTGTGAGCGCATCCACGTGAGCTTTTTTCCAAATATGAGCAGTCAATCGGTCGATTTTTTGCTTCCATACGTGAGATACGTGAGCGAAATTTCCATAAGCAAGTGGGCCTCAAGGGAGGTTCCTTGACACTGGTGAGGGACTCTTGCTCTTGAGCTAGGGAATGGGATCTCATTTGTTTGTTAGACTATCTTACTGAAACTTGGGCAATGTATGACGGAAAAATGCTTTGTAGCGTACACCAAAAATGAAGGAAATCGGACTATAAATAATGGAATTCACTTCTCAGCAATTAGCCCCCCCCCTCCCATTTTAGCAGTATTTTCATATGGTTTTTATGGTCGTATTCTCGGTTTTTTGGTCTCATTTGATAGAATGGAAGATATATTACAGAAATAGATACGATTTTCATTGACTTCACGACGAAAAGTACCTTGAAATTGAGCTCACAGTAGCAGAAATGTTCAATTCTTTGGCAATGTTCAAGAGTAAACAAATGATATCACTATCCATTCCAGTATGCAGTCGTGAATGGGTTGACATTATTTATACAATTATTACAATAATGCAGTAGTCTGCAGAACAGTAAATCTTCTATTTTTTTGTGTGAATAAAAATTACAAATTATTTATATTGTAATAATAATAATAGTATAGTATAATAATAATACAGTGGGCCCCCGACCAACGATATTAATCCGTTCCAGAGAGCTTGTCCTTAGCCAAATTTATCGTTTGCCGAATTAATTTTCCCCATAAGAAATAATGGAAATTCAATTAATCTGTTCCAGACACCCAAAAGTATAAAAAAAAAAAATTTTCACATGAAATATACATTTTCCTACACAGAAAACAATGATACATGCACAATAAATACTACATGAAGAATAAATGACACTACCTTTATTGAAGATGTAGTGATGAGTGATGAGATGGGGGGAGGGGAGATGATGGTGATGTATTATTGTTTGGAAGGGGAATCCCCTTCCATAAGGACTTTAGGTACCAAGTCCTTTTCCAGGGTTACTTCCCTTCTTTTCTTAATGCCACTGGGAACAACTTTACAGTCGCTGGACCTATGTTGCACCAAAAATCTGTCCATAGAGCTCTGTACCTGGCATTCCTTTAAGATTTTCCTAAAATGGGCCACAACATTGTCATTGTAAAAGTCACCAGCACGGCTTGCAATAGCTGTGTCAGGGTGATGTTCTTCCATAAAGGCTTGCACCTTTGTCCACATTGTACAAATGTCCTTAATTGTTGAAGAAGGCAACTTCCGCCATTTCTCTCTCCCCTCCTCTGAAGCAATTTCCTCAGTTGTGGTCTCTTGCTGTTGCAGATGCTCTTGCAGCTCATCAGTGGTTAGTTCTTCATCGTCGTCGTCCACCAACTCTTCCACACCCTCCCCACTAACCTCCAACCCTATGGACTTCCCAATGATACAATAGATTCCACAACTGGCATAGGCTCCTGAGGGTTAGCCCCGAGCCCTTTAAAATCCCTTTCTTGTACACATTGTGGCCACAGTTTCCTCCAAGCAGAGTTCAAGGTCCTGTTAGTCACTCCCTCCCAAGCCTTACCTATAAGGTTTATGCAGTTGAGGATACTAAAGTGATCTTTCCAAAACTCTCTTAGGGTCAGTTCAGTGTCTGAGGTCACTTCAAAGCACTTTTGAAACACTGCTTTGGTGTGCAGTTTTTTGAAATTTGAAATGACCTGCTGGTCCATGGGCTGGAGGAGAGGAGTGGTATATTAGGAGGCAAAAACTTCACTTTTTATAAAGCTCAACTCCCCTGCAATTCACTCTGGCAAGTCTGAAGGATGAGCAGGAGCATTATCTAATACCAGGAGGCACTTGAGTTCCAATTTATTTTCCAGGAGGTAATTTTTCACAGTGGAGGCAAACACATGATAGAACCAATCATAGAAAATGTCTCTAGTGACCCATGCCTTACTGTTTGCCCTCCACATCACACACAAATTAGCCTTGACGACACTGTTTTTCTTGAACACTGGGAGTTTGAGTGATACATGAGTAAAGGTTTCACTTTGCAATCACCACTAGCATTACTACAAAACATTAGAGTTAGCCTGTCTTTCATAGGCTTGTCCTGGTAGTGCTTTTCCTCCTGTGTAATGTAGGTCCTGTTTGGCATTTTCTTCCAAAACAGGCCTGTTTCATCACAATTGAACATTTGTTGGCATTTTAATTTTTCAGTGTCTGTGTACTCCTTGAATTCCTGCACATATTTTTCAGCCGCTTTTTGGTCACAACTGGCAGCCTCACCATGCCTTATCACACTGTGTATGCCACTATGATTCTTAAATCTCTAACATACCACTAATCACTAACATACCACTAGTTGCAGACATTTTTTTAACTAAATCATCATGCAACTGCCTTGCCTTTTCACATATTATTGACTGAGAAACTATCTCCTGATAATTATTTTTTGTTTATCCACACCAACAACACTCTCTCCACATCTTTGAGTATTTGCTATCTCTGTTTTGAAAACATACTTGCACCTTTTGCAACAACAGCTTCCTTGATTGCCTTTCTGTTGGCCAAGATAATAGCGATGGTTGATTTGGGTTTGTTATACAACCTGGCCAGCTCGGAGGCATGCACTCCACTTTCATACTTTGTGATTATCTCTTTCTTCAATTCCATAGTAATTCTCACCCTTTTTACCACAGGCACTAGAAGCTTTCTTGGGGCCCATGGTGGCTTATTTGACTCGCAAAATCGTAATGACACGATTGCAAACAAGCCATACCACGGGCGGGATTTGAACCCGCAGTCAGAGAGTCTCAAAACTCCAGACCTTCCTATGCTGTAGAAATATACCTAGTTGGACGAATCTTATTGTGGCTAGCTGGTCCAGTGGCTAACGCGACGGTCTGGAGTTTTGAGACTCTCTGACCGCGGGTTCAAATCCCACCCATGGTATGGTTTGGGTGGCTTATTTAGCAGTTACAAGCACTAACATTGGAATAATACAAAATGTATCGCAGGTACACGTGGAACCGACCGCAGTGGCTTGTAAACAATGGCAAAGTAGCTGAAGGCAGGGCAGCTGAGGCACACTCAGGCTGGATGGACATGCGGACACATTGGGATGAATGTTGTTACCCGAGTTTTTCATTTTTGGTCGAGCCAATATTTTTACGCAGAAATGCATCGTTAGCCAATTTTATTGTTAGACGATGCCATCGTTGGTCGAGGGTCCACTGTAATGTAATACGTATAATAATAATAGATGTTTAATAATAATGTGCTATATACATGTAATAATATTTATAATAATAGACGGCTTCACAAGGTCGTCACTAGATGGCAGTGTTTACCACAAAGCGGGAGCAGTTGTGGCCACCTACACCTGTTACATAATGACATATTTTATTCATTCTACAGTATATATCAGGTTTCTATGTTATTTATATTGTTTATTAGGTCATACTAGATTAATTATGATAGATAAATAAGCTGTATAGATGATATTAGCGAAATATTGAAGTATCTTGTCATACCTCCTGAGAACCGGGAACAGATTAGTTGCATTTCAGTTAATTTAAATGAGGAAAATTGATATTGCAAAAAAGTAAGGTCGTGGAACGGATTAACCCTTTGACTGTCGCAAGCCCCTTTCTGAAACTGTCATTCTGTCGCAAAATTTTTGGAAAAACAATTATTTTTTCTTATGAAATGATAGAGAATCTTTTCCCAATGGTAATGACACCAAAAGTGCGAAATTTGGTCGAAAACTCACGGAATTACGCTCCCGTGAAGTTAGCAGTCTTGGCGACATATACGCATCAACGATTTTGCCAACTTTGAGCCCTGTTATTGGCCAATTCTGTTGTTCCAGTTGACCAAACTCATAGCTATTTCTTTAGAACTCTATTTTTTCTATCAGTTGAGTACAAGAAACCGCCCATTTACCGATTTGAACTATCCAATAAAGTGGTCAGAAATTGGCAATTTGGCCAATTCCATGCAAATTAAAAATTTTGTCAATTTCAAAATAGGGTCCAGAATAAACAATGTAGACATTCTTGGCACTAAAATAACATATCCTCTGTTCATTAGTCATGTCTCTAGGCCCCTCTTGTATTACTACTGCTTTCTATTTTGATTTTTTATTCATGCAAAAAAAAATAGAAGATTTACTGTTATGCAGACTACTGCATTATTGTAAAAATGGTATAAATAATATCAGTGCACTAGTGAAAGAATATTAGACTCCCCAGTTGATGTGTATTGGACGTGTGATTTGCTTACTCTTGAACAGTGGTAAAAATCGAACATTTCCGCTACTTTGAGCTCAATTTCAAGATCGTTTTCATTGTGAAACTAGTCAAAATCATCTCTATTTCTGCAATATGTTTTCCATTTTATCACATGAGACCATGAAAACGAGAATACACCAATAAATACTATACGAACATACACTTCAAAGTCGGCGTTTTAATCCAAAAAGAATGGTCATTTTTTTTTCTCATTATGCACTTTATGCTGCAGGATTTTTTTATGTGGTGCACACTGACCACATAGACCCATTCTCTCACATGAGGGCCTACAAGCTTTCTCCTGCTTGATTTGAAGCCACTAGAATTATTGAGTATACTGTATATACGTCCAAAACACTGGCTCATAAGACGTATATATACGACCAAAATAGTCAAGGGGTTAAACTCGTGAGTGGAGGTTCCACTATATAGCTTACATCATCCTCCAAAATTAATGTTGCTCCCAATGTCCACTTTAAAAAAAATGAACTGAAATGGTAGAGAATCTTTTCTGAATATACAGTGGACCCCCGCTTTACGATCACCTCCCAATGCGACCAATTATGTAAGTGTATTTACGTAAGTGCGTTTGTACGTGTATGTTTGGGGGTCTGAAATGGACTAATCTAATTCACAATATTCCTTATGGGAACAAATTCGGTCAGTACTGGCACCTGAACATACTTCTGGAATGAAAAAATATCGTAAACCGGGGGTCCACTGTATTTGACACCAAAAGTAAAAATTTGGTGGAAAACTTAGAATTCTGCAGGTGCAAGTTTGTGGAGGGTGCAGTTTACACATCAGCAGTTTTGCCATGTTTGAGTCCAATTTTAAGTTAATTCCATTGCTCAATTCAACCAAATTCTAAGCTATTTTGCTAGTATGCCTTCTGTTCAATTGATTGAGCACAATAATCTGCACATTCAACTATTATTTCCCTACAAAGTGCACAGAAGTTGGTAATTTGGCCAATTTTACACAAATTTAAAAAATACCAATTTAAAAATAGTCCAAAATAAACATTGTAGATATTCCTGTCACTAAAACATCTTCTCTGTTCATTAATCATGTCTCCAAGCCTTCTATTTTGAATTCATAATCACACAAACATTTACTCTATTTCCTGGATAATAAATATAACTAGAAATGATAAGTAATGGTTTTTGGTATCCCAATAATTGAATCAGACCATTTAAAAACTCATGAAACAGACAAGGTTGGGTGTAGGGGACCTTCCCTTACTTCGGAAAATCACCAAAAATTGAATAGTTCTGCTATTTTGAGCCCAATTTTAAGCTACTTCCAATTTTGAAACCAACTAGAATCATCTCAATTTCAATGGTATGTCTTCCATTCTATCACATGATACCAAGTAACAGCCAATAAAACCATAAAAGCCATCCAGAAAATACCTCGGTCATTATTTTAAATCACACATGGTCAGAGTTTTGCTTTTCTCATCATGCACCACAGGCAGGATTTTTTTTCTACTGTGCACACTCATGGTGCAGACTATTACAACCCAGGTTTTCAAAGGCCTTTTATCCTGGGTGTAAAGGGAGCAAAATAAACACAGCAGAAAGACTTTGAATTATATTATCCTTCACCAAGTATAAACAGCAGTATGTACACTATATACACTATGTACAACAATAGGAATTAGTGCATTCCACGGTAATCAAGGCACAGTAGCAGCCAAGAGAAAGCAGACCACTGTGCTTCAACCAGCTCTAGAATGGACATGACAAGGGCGAAAACGTGAGTGGTAACCACGTCACATTCACAATTGCTGGATCCACCTTCTAATTGGCTGAACCTAGATGCTGATCTGACGATGAAGCCCTGTTGGATCGTCAGATCCTTAGCATCTGGTTCGCTGGTTGGTGAGGTAGCCTGTGTGAGTGTGTTAACATGCTCCGAATAAAGATTACATACTCTTTGCATGCAACACCCCCACCCCAAGAGGGCTCTGAACTAGGCTTCCACCTCAATGGGTAAACGTGCTGCCGTGCCACCTGGCACAGTGGTCTGCTGTCTTACAAAGTCAACCAAGGACTGACCCAGCTGTCGTCTACCTAGCTTGAATTCCTTTCTGTACTTGGCAGGAATACATTGATAAGCACCAAGAACCATGGTCTTCACCACCTGATAATTATTGAAATCAGTGTCATTTAACACTGATGTAAATTCCTGTACCTTACCAAACAACGCTGTATGCACCAAAATCACCCAGTGCTGTTCAGGCCACCTCAAGGCTCGAGGCTGGTTTTCGAATGCTTCAAAAAATAATTCAGTCTTAGCTTCAGTGAAACGAGGAACAAGCTGTACTTCTTTTTGCAAACTAATGTCATTTACAGCTTGAGTAAACTGCCTTCTTTCTTTTTCTCTTGTCACACTCTTCCTTAGCATAGGTGTGCTGTTCAAGATTGATTTTTTGCTAACTCAAGCACCAATGCAGCTGACTCACCTTCAGACAACCCCGTTGCGTGAGATTGATGGTTTTGCTCAGGTGTTGTATCTTTTTCCTCTTGCGGGAACCTTAGCGGGGATTTACTCCTGGCTCCTGTAGGAGGAGAAGCCTGATATGCCATCTCCAATTCTTGAAGTTTGACACCTATAAGATTACGAAGCTGCGCAGCCGTAAGAGTGTGTTCGTACTCAATGCCAGTGGAACGAGCAATTCGCCAACAATGCTGTAGGGAAAACTTAGGCAAGTTTAATAGAGTGAATTCAGACACTAGCCGTCTGACTTGTCTAGGAGGCATTAAACTCCAACGTAATACGCTATTTGCAATACATGCTCAGCTATGCTCTGTACGACTGCAGAATACTCATTCAATAGTAAGGCTGACACGTAATCAAGCCGAACACGCACATGCAGTAGCAAGGCTTACACGCAATAGCAAAACCAACTGCAGAATACTCACACAATAGCAAGGCTGACCATAGCAAAGCAAATGCAAAGTTTACACGCAAAACAGCAAGCTATCAATGATCACACAATAGCAAGGCTGACCATAACGAAGCAAATGCAGAGCTGACACGCAGAATTCGTGAGGTGTTGGCAAAGCTGATGCAATGCCAGATAGCCAGCTATCTGCAATATACTTCCTGCTCCAACCTCAACTCTAGGTTCAGCTCCTGCTCTAAGTCCAGCTCCAGATCCCGGACAGGCCCCCATATTACAACCCAGGTTCTCAAAAGCCTGTTAACCTGGGTGTAAAGGGAGCAAAATAAATACAGCAGAAAGACTTTGAATTATATTATCCTTCACCAAATATAAGCAGCAGTATGTATACTATATACACTATGTACAGCAATAGGTATAAGTGCATGCCACGGTAATCAAGGCAGAATAGCAGCCAAATGAAAGCAAACCACTGTGCTTCAACCAGCTCTAGAATGGAAATGACAAGGGTAAAAAACGTGAGTGGTAACCATGTCACCTTCACAATTGCCAGATCCACCTTCTCATTGGCTGAACCTAAATACTGATCTGACTATGGGGCCCCGTTAGATCATCAGAGCCTTAGCATCTGGTTTGCTGGTTGGTGAGGTAGCCTATGTGAGTGTGTTAACATGCTCCGAATAAAGATTACATATTCTTTGCAGGCAACACAGACTAATTCTCTTATATCTTGACTTATATTTACCACTTGCAGCCTATCAAATTGAGTCGAGTTCATGACGTAGAGCTATGTTAGGACCCCGACTTCAGTGACATAGTTCTTCATGACGGCAACTGAAAGGGTTAAGAAGGCCTCGGTGGTAGTCCTGCTAGACCAAAATCTACAGTAACCCCTTATATTCTTTTTGCTTTCTCCATGTCAGTTCATTTGTGCCTCCAGGGAGAGGTAACAATGCTAGTGAAGGGCTTTTGATCCAAGGAACTGGACTCATCCTTTGAAGTGCTATGTAATTGATCATTACAGGTTTAGCACTTCCTCCTGGTTAATATAAATAAATAAATATTGTAATGTAGTTTTGTCTGGGAAGTATTTGAATTAAATTATTACAGAGCGTATAAGCGAGTAGGTGGGATACATTTGGTACATGTACATCTATCTACCCCTTTATGTACAAATTGTTAAGTGTTGATTTCCAAAACTTTCATACTTTAATGCCCAGCATACATAGCTAGGAGGTATATGTACTGCTTCAATCTGTCTTGTCTCGTTTATTAACTGTTATACAAAACTACATAAAAGGAAATTATAAGGTGCAATACCATAGCTGAAACAATTTGGAAATAAAGAAATTTAGAGAAGAAGCTTTAGCCAAATCCTCAAAAGTCATGACTTGACCCAACCTTGTCATTCTCCTCACCTCACCCAACCTATCTTCTGGCTTTCTCACCTTTTCAGCCATCCTGTCTTCTGACTTGCTTCTCACATGTTCACCTGTTTTGTCTCTTAACTTCTTTCTCATCTTTTCACCCAACCTATCTTATGGCTTTCTCCACTTTTCACTCAGTCATGACTTGATAATGGTCCAGGATGAATCAAGACTTGTTTTTTTAGTTTCTTCTCCAAAGTGTGTTAGTCAGAATTGTCCCACAACAAAACTGAAATCATTGAATTTTATTGGCTGTGAGAGGTAAAGGTGTAATAAATGAGTTTGTAGATAATAATAAAGTTGTAATAAAAAGAGAAATATAAAATTTTTCTCTTATGCAAAGTTTGTTGTCATAACAGTGGAAATACAGAAATCATGTGTGTGCTTGGTATGTTAATACTGCTGTAGTGCAAGAACAAATTTCCTGACACTTAATATATGTATATATTGTCTTCATATCTGAGGAGTAATGCAAGGTTTGTGTACTGGTGAATACAAACGAGTCCTGTTTATTTCTGTGTGATGATAGCAAGTTTATATTTTTAATCCACTCAAAAATATAGATGTGCCCCATAATGGATAGGTCATGTCATTGAAAATGTTGACCCTAATTAATTAATTAATTTGGACATCACTGATAAAAATTCTAAATGACCCAGTTTATTAGTTGAAATGTTCATACTAAAGGTGATAAAAATTAGGCCTAAAACAACTCTTTTTGCCATAATTTCATCATGTTGTATGATGTAACATAGTTAAATCACTATTAGTTCAAAATTTAACAGGTGGAGAATGTGGATGAAGTACTTGCATTCCATAATGACTTCCTGAGTGGGTGCTTGAAGGACTGTATGCTTACTTCACCAGAACTGCTGCGCATGATCTCTAAACTTACCACCATATGTGTCAGTTTTGCCAATTTCATAGAGGTAAGTCTTCTGTCAGAATGTGGTGCTAGTGTTCTTTACCCAAATGGAATTACTGTATTTTACAGCATCGAAGACGCTATTTTTTTTTTCCAAAAATAAGTCTCGTAAATTTACCCAGCATCTTGTAAGCCAAAGTTTTTTTTTTTTTTTTAAATTTAGCCAGTCGGAATTGGAGGGGGCGTCCTCAACACCAGAGCATCATGTTTGCTGTAAAATACGGTATATCAGCCTTCAGTTATTTATTGCAGAATAAGCTTGATAATGTAAGGAGATTGTTTAGGTTTTCAGTTATTTATTGCAGAATAAGCTTGATAATGTAGGGAGATTGTTTAGGTTTTACAATATATAGGAAGTGTGTACTGCAGTAAAGGTTAAAAATTTATAAATTAAACATAAAAGTTTCCAGACCATTGTGCATAATTTATTATATGAATATTAACTAACACAATCACAGAAGTTTAGTTAATACCAGGAGGGTGATTTGCCATGGTTACCCATGAAACCTTTACCTTGTTCATTTCTATGGTTATACTCACTTCAGTATCACTTGCGTGATCTGCTCTATTTTCTCTGCCTGAACATTACCATTTCAATAAATAATTTTCCCTTTCTTTGACTTTGTTATTTTCCCTTGTGTCTTGTCATTGTTTCTTTTTTTCTTCTCTGCTACTTTTGTACTTCTTATTATTTCCTGAAGTACTCATTCTTTCCACACAATATTAAGGTGATTTCTTCAATGTATTATGGATTCTAGGATGCCTATAAAGTTTTGTCACTTCTGTATTAGTCCATATCATTATCAAACAATACATTATGTTTATCTTTACTGTTATGGCAAAATGAGCTCTTGCCCCAGTTTGTTAAAACCAGACAACATTCATATTACAAACATCTTGCACTTGTGCTTCAGACGTTTAACAGACCTATAAAACAAAAATGTGCTTTGAAGAATTGAATCCTATTCATTCCAACCAAAAGCATTACATATGGAGAATTGTATTCCAGCTTATCTATAAGTTACTACAGGGGTGACAAAACTGTGGTTACCTTTTACATGGGGCCAGCAGTAAGAAAAATTCCCAGAGGTAACAAGGCATTAAAGATATTGAATTAGAGGCTGGAGTAAAGGGTAGATTTTTATCTGCAAGTGAATAAAGGCATTGATCATATTTGGTGAACTGTTAAAGGAAGTATGTCCTATATTTCAGTATAGAAATAGCACAAGTTTTACTTTGGAATGTAGAGTGGCCAATATATTGCTGATGTTTTGCCCACACACTAGGTTTTATCAGGTCACAAACAGGTAAACTTGGTATGAGAGAGAAAGCTTTCAAAATAGTAAATAGTGATAATGTGAAGAACAAGTGGGGTGTGTGCATCAGGTCATGTTGATTCCATGATGTCCCAGAAGTTTTCTGCTAGGGGTTCAGGTAAATCTTATCCTCTAGCCAGAAAACTCCTGGGAGTTTTCTGGCTAGAGGGAGTCGATGTCACCTGACACACATCTCACTTGTTCTTGACTTCACTCATAGTCACTACTTTATAAGTTATCCCTAGTATGGGAAGGAGACCTTATTTATTTTTTAATTTACAAAGCCCACTGCATGAGTGATGCATTGACAATAAAAGTTCCAGGTAACTGTTTTCTCTCTATCAAAGCTAAAGGTGAAAATATTATTAGCTAAAGAGTAACACATGTTTAGCCTTGTTAAAAAATTTTGGTTAATGTTTACAAAGCAAGGATAATGTCCAGTTACTGTATTTAGTTCTATAAAAAATTATTTCAGATTCTCTTCCCTTGCCACATACATATTCCTGCCCTAATTATGCCATCTCTTTGGTCCCCTTTCTCTAATGCTCTCGTGATACCCATTCCTAATTTTATTCTTACCTCCTTTCCTGAAATTCATTATTCAATTTGACAATTTTACTGTTACCTGTTCTAATTAATATGATGATTTTTCCCTATTACTTGCAATCTTAATATGCTATGTCTTCCCCTTCCATTATCTTAAATCCCTTGACCCCCCCCCCCCCCAGAGAATGAAAAAGTACTACTTGGAAGCAGAACTATGGATGTCTGATGAACGAAGAGACTCGATAGATCGAGAGGTACTTGTAACAAGCAGTTCTTTACCATACCAATGGAGAGTGCTTTTATGTTATTAATATGGTTACTCCTGTTAGTGTTCAATAATTTTCATGGGAAAATATAGTAACTGGTTTGCATGATGGGAATAAATCACCCAGATAAATCGAAAACTTCATTAAAGTGATTGACAGGGACTGCAGATCTGTCAGGCTAACATTTTAGCAGATATATGGCAGTTAGCACTTGAGGTAACTTCGAAATATCTGGTGCTGATGTTTTTGTGCTATTTTGTAACTGCATGAAAAATGGATGGATGGAGATAATAAAACTACTGTAGTTACAGTGTTAGAAATGGGCATCTATGGTGATTATGTTTATGTACGTACATAGCTGTTAAAATTGCTTGATGTTCTGAATTTAGAGATTAGATATCAGAATAGTTTACAGATGTTTATTCATGTATTAATTAGTGTTCACCATATTCATTTAATGGGAATTCAGCCTTTTGTGTGTGTGTGTGTGTGTGTGTGTGTGTGTGTGTCTGCCTGTCTGTCATACCTCATGGTAGTATCAGGAAGCATTCTACCTGAGTATGAATTGTTTAATTTTCTCTGTTCCAAAAACTTAAGTGTGCAGTATTTTATTACAAAAAAGATCTTGAATATAAGAACATAAGAAAGAAGGAACACTGCAACAGGTCTACTGACCCATGCAAAGCAGGTCCATGTTGTGCCCCCCCCCCCCACTTCCTGGATTAGCCCTATGACCCACCTAGTCAGGTCACTTCCACTTAAGGAAGGAGCACGGCATCAGACCTAGCAGCACAAGCTAGTCAGGTCCAACTCACGCCCACCCACACCCACTTGTATATTTATCTAACCTATTTTTAAAACTACACAACGTTTTAGTCTCTATAACCATACTCGAGAGTTTGTTCCACTCATCCACAACTCTATTACCACACCAGTGCTTTCCTATATCCTTCCTGAATCTGAATTTTTCCAACTTGAAATCATTGCTGCGAGTCCTGTCTTGGCTGGAAATTTTCAGCATGCTATTTACATCCCCTTTATTTATTCCTGTTTTCCATTTATACACCTCGATCATATACCCCTAATTCTACGCCTTTCAAGAGAGTGCAGATTCAGGGCCCCTCAGTCTATCCTCGTAAGGAAGATTTCTGATACATGGGATCAACTTTGTCATCCTCCTCTGTATGTTTTCCAGTGCATTTATATCCATTTTATAATACGGTGACCAGAACTGTGCAGCATAATCTAAATGAGGTCTAACCAAGGATATAGAGTTGAAGAACAACCTGAGGATTTCTATTATTTATACTTCTAGATATGAAGCCAAGGATTCTGTTAACTTTATTACAAACACTAATGCACTGTTGTCTTGGTTTTAGATGACTGCTAACTAGAACTCCTAAATCCTTTTCGCAATCAGTAGTATTAAGATCTACATTATTTAGTTTATATATGGCATGGTTATTTAACTGTCCAACATTTAGAATTTTTGCATTTATCTATATTAAACTGCATCTGCCACTTCTCCGACCATTGCATCAGTTTATTCAAATCATCCTGGAGTGCTCTGGTGTCCTCATTAGAATGAATTGGATGGCCTATTTTGGTGTCATCAGCAACAGGCCCAACACTGACCCCTGTGGAACACCGCTTGTGACGTGCCCCCATTCTGATTTCTCCCCATTTATGCAAACTCTCTGCTGCCTGTTTGTCAGCCATGCCTCTACCCAGGAAAAATTTCTCCTCCTATTCCGTGTGCCTTAAGTTTCCTCAATAGCCTCTGATGTGGAACTCTAGCAAAAGCCTTACTGAAGTCCATATACACAATATCATATTCACTACCATGATCTACCTCCTTAAACCTTTCAGGGTTGGCAGGCTCTCTCCTAAACTTGTTTTCAGGGTCGGAAATTTTTTGAAAAAGAAAAAAAAATAATTATTTTTTCTTGTGAAATGATAGAGAATATTTTCCCGATGATAACGACACCAAAAGTATGAAATTTGATGAAAAACTTACGAAAATATGTTCTCGCGAAGTTAGCGGTCTCAACGACGTTGACACATTGGCGATTTCACCCACTTTGAGCCCTATTGTCAGCCAATTCCAGTGTACCGGTCAACAGAAATCATAACTATTTTGCTAGAACTCCATTTTTTCTATCGAATGAGTACAAGAAACCACCCATTTACTGATTTCAACTATCCAACAAAGTGGTCTGAAATTAGCAATTTTGCCAATTTCACACAAATTTCAAAAGATGCCAATTTCCAAATAGGGTCCAGAATAAACAAGACAAACATTCCTGGCACTAAAATAACATTTCCTCTGTTCATTAGTCACATCCCTAGGCCTCTGTTACATCTCTTTTGCTTTCCACTTTGGATTTTTATTCTCACAAAAAATAGAAGATTTACTGTTATGCAGACTACTGCATTAGTTTAGAAATGGTGTAGAAATGGTATAAATAATATTAGCACACTTGTGAAAGAATATTAGACTCACCAGTTGAAGTGTATTGGATGCATGGCTTGATTTATTTTCTTTTGAACTTTGGCAAAAATTGAACATTTCTGCTACTTTGAACTCAATTTCAAGGTACTTTTCATTGTGAAACCAATAAAAATCATCTCAATTTCCATAATATGTCTTCCATTCTATAAAATGAGACCAGGAAAACTAGAATACAACCATAAATAGCATATGAAAATACACTGCAAAGTCGCTGTTTTAAACCAAAAACATTATGCACTGTGTGCTGCAGGATTTTTTTTTATACTGCGCACACTTACCACATAGACCCATTCTTTCATATGTAGGCCTACCAGCTTTCTCTCGCTAGATTTGAAGGTGCTAGAATTTATGCATACTAGTACAGCACCAACCCTGAAAGTGTTAAACACCTTAGTGAAAAAAAGTTAGTAAATTCGTAAAACAGGAACGCCCCTTTGTAAAACCATGTTGAGATTCATTAATCAATTTATGCCTATCAAGATGACTACGAATTGCTTCGGCAATTATACTTTAAAAAGACTAGTATTTTTTTAATTTAACAGAATTTAGTTGTGAATAATTATTCTATTAAGGTGCAAATTGTCATGGAGAATCATACAGTATAGGTCTCTCTCGTTTTTTCATTCTCATTCTCTATTATATATGTTTTTATAACTGTCTTATAGGAATTAGGCTCAGAGCTCCTTTATTTTCTTTATACGGTAAATGCTGTTATCCTAAGCTCATTTCAAAGCCTGAGCCTAGCAGTATCTGTATTATAATTTATTAGTGTGTATATCAACCCTTTCAGGGTCTTGAGCCCCAATCTGAAACTTTTTCTCACTGTCCAGAAATGAAAAAAAAAAAAAAATCTTTCAACAGACCGGCTGTATCCCACCAAGGCAGGGTGTTCCAAAAAGAAAAATGAAAGTTTCTCTTTTTAAGTATAGTAATACAGCCTCTCCTCGCTTACCGTTGTGTTCCTAGGAACACAACGGTAAACGAATTTGTCGCAAATTGATGAATCGCCCCTTACTGACACTTCAAAAGTGTCACCACCCAAAATTAAAACATTCAGTTTTATGTTTGCTGGGAAATTCCTTTCAATCTGTTTATTATTAATGGTAATGTAACATAAAATAGGTCAGTGACTTCTGAGATATTCCAGGAAACACCTGCATAGCTGATTACTTGGGAATTTTTTTTTTTCAAGAAAATCGCACTTTTTTTTAGTCTTTGCTTAGGATAAGAGTGATCTTCTATAGCTACCCTTTAGGCACGTAACGTTTTCTGTAATAAGGCACAGTCACTTATTTTTTTTTTTAATCCCTCCCTGCCCTCCACCCTTCAGTACCTCTCTATATAATGTCAGTTTTTATTAATTTGGGCATCTTTATCATGCTTCCATGTTATTTATGTTATACCTAATATTATTCTGGAATAAATATGATAGGTAGATAACCTTTATTGATAGTAATAGTATAATTATGCAATATTTTAAAGGGGCAATCATGAGTTACTGAGACACTGCTCGCTTCTCCCTCTACTATAACTCCACCCACTTTGTAACAATGCCAGATGATGAATTAAATACATATACTAGAAAGAAAAAATAAAAATGAAACTACAACTTGATAACTATTTTAATTTGCATAACTCATATATTACAGAAAACAACAAAATAGTAAAATACACATACAATGAGTTAAGCTTAGGAAAAAATAACTTAAGAATCTGGCAACATTTTGGTATAAGTATCAGCTTTGTACCATGTTTCTACAAAGAATTAGTCATTTTACAAAAATTATTTTTATGATGCGCCAAGTAATATACATTGTATTGAATTTTCAGAATTTTTTTCCAATTTTTTTTATTTTTTTTTTCTGTCTAATACATTAACCCTTAAACTGTCCAAACGTAGCTCTGTGTACACTTGCGTAGCACTCTGAACGTAGATCTACGTTCGGAGCGCTACGCAAGTTTGGACAGTTTAAGGGTTAAATCCACCATCCAGCATCGTTATGAAGTGGGAGGAGCTATAGGAGGGAGGGAGAGGCCAGCAGAAGCATTCAGTAGCTGGTGAATCGTCATGGGTGTTGGATGTTAGCCATGGCACTAATAAAATGTGTAATTACGCTAATATTAGTAATACGTAAAGGTTATCTATCTATCACATTTATTCCAAATTGATATGAGAAACATGATAAATACCCTAGAACTGGAATAAAGATGCAAAATGAAAAATGTATGCCATATTATATGAGTGGGGTAAGGGCAGGGGCTGCTATTCTCTCGTTTGCACCTCTGGTCTATAACAAAAGAAAACAGTGTTTACAACAGGGCAAACACTCCTAAATTACTCTTTTTTTTTTTTTTTTTTTTTTTTTTTTCTTTTTTTCAACAAGTCGGCCATCTCCCACTGAGGCAGGGTGACCCAAAAAAGAAAGAAAATCCCCAAAAAGAAAATACTTTCATCATCATTCAACACTTTCACCAC